AAATTCGACGGGATGGATTTAGTCTCTACTCTTCTATATTAGGGGTTTTTGAGCGGAATGTGGTAGCAAAACCGTGAAAAATCCCTAATTGAGGTACATGGAAGTTATGTAGTGGCCTGTTATTGTAACCAACCATGATGGGGGTGGTAAAATATTAAATAATTCTATACTAATTAAATTATAATATTTTTTATTAAAGGTGTATGAAGACAAATTTCAATATACGAAGTACAGCAAAAACAGATATCAATTATCTCATTTAAATAAATAGTTAACACATTTAGACTCAAAGATAAAGAATCCAAAACAGTTTATTCAAAATAGTTCTAATTTAATTGTTTGCAGCTACTTTAAAGTCGTTTCCAGATAAACTTATCACCGGAAGCTATGCGTTAATGCATATAAAAAATAAAAGAAAATAAAATAAACTAAATTTAAATCACTTTTACAGCCTAACACAAGTGTTAATTATGAATTCGTTTGTTACGGAAAGGGCAACACTCATTTTAATTTTTTAGTTTTTAATTACTTGAACGACAGAAAGCCGCAAACGTGACTTAAAATGAATGGTAGCGCATAACTCAGTACGTTCACAGATTTAATCAAGCATAATAAAATCTGTTAGTGCTGAAACCTGGCCCTTTCTTTAGTCTACTTAAATGATTTCTTTTTATATGTTTTCGTAACAATGGCATAGTAACCCCAAACAGCAGTAAAGGCGTAAATGGCTACCAAACTCAAAGCAACTCTTAACCATTTCTCAATTACTTGCATGCACATAGACATGGGCTACGACTTCGGGGAGAGCAAATATCTACAAATCTACAAACAAAAAAAGAAAGACATACAAATGGTATTTAATCTTAAAGGTAAGCCCGTGGCATAAAAAAACTAAAAAGTAAAAAACTAAAAAACGAACACACACAAATAAAAACATGTATCAACCTCAACCCATGAATGCAGAACGTAAGTATCTGGGCACCAGTATGTAAGCATAAAGACAGCAATTGTATTGTGTACATTTTTTATGGTTGTGTTTTGTTATTGTAATCGTAAGTGTATCTACAACGACGATCGTGAGAAAATGGTTTGGAACGTGGTTCTCACACGATCGACACACCTGCCCTTTTTTAATTTTAATTTCAAGATTCAAGACTACTTACGGCAAGATCACGACCGCCGTTGCAACATGAAAGCAAAAGGTGAGCACTAACTTAGGCTGCTGCAGTGCAGTGTGCTGAAAGACGCAAGTTGAGAAGCACGACAAAAGCAGCGACGTCAAAACCGATGCGATGAAACAAAAGAGACGATCGCGGTATGGCAATCATTAAATGATGTGGACACGATCGTTAAGTTAACTCAAGCGAACATGCCTAACTTAAAGCAAAACCAAAGACAAACCCCAGTCAGACTAAATAAAAACCACACTAACCAAGTCGAAGTACCAAATTTAAGCATGTTAAAGCATGCCGATCACAGGGAATATGCAATCAGATATGTGCAAAGTTGGCTTTGATGCTTTACAGTATTTCATAAATGAATTTTTAGTTTCGTTAAGACTTTTAGTTAGGTATGTCTAGTACATGCTTTGTTATATCTTTAATATCATGGATGTTGTTACACTACATTGGCACACGCGCATTGCGCACTGTGCCACTGGGACCGTGCCGTCCCAGCCTGTTTAATTTGAGCTTTGTGAGATTTTACATCGAAAAACTGGTTACTAACAAATTCGTTGCATTTAAATACAAGATTTTAATTCCAATTATTTTTATTTTATTTTGTCTGTTCTTCAGAATCGGGTGCAGTAAAAGGCAAAAAGAATTCCATAAAGAGCACGTTATAACAATTAGGAAAATTGGCATTCAAGAGACGTGATGTGATGTACTTTCTGTTGTGCTTATTGTAACAGAATTTTCGATAGTTTTAATTCATTTTCAAAACTTTATACCAAATTACCAAACTATGAGTAAAACAATATTGGTAAGTACTTATGAGGATGGACATATATATAAGGTGATCAAATCAGTTCTATATATTGTTGGAATATCATTGCAACGATTTTATTACATATTCAGTGCTGATCAATAATCGATATAATGAATCGTCACAATGAAATCAGCATAATTTACCCATATTGCATGCTATTTGTAATGTGATTGAAAAATTCGGATTTAAAAAGTGTTTATGATAATAGGAGTTAAGTCTTATTAAAAACATCAATAATGTGAATCATAGTGTCGATAAAAAACAGAGAACAGAGAATAATTAAGAACATTCAACTGTTTATAAAACACGTTAACATCCACAAAAATTGTCAGTATGTAGTCTTCCAACTGGAGATGGAATCAATGTTATTTTTTTGAAAATAAAAGCAAACTTTGTAAATTGCTGCAATTTTGTAACGATGTAATTTTCGTAAAGTGATAAAACCAGCTGACTAATAGTGATACAATAAATTTGTTAAGATAACATAGCTTTTATTTCAACAACTTTTATTATGGTTGTTTTTAAAACAACTTATATATTGACAAATATTGAAGTTAGAATACTGGCAGTTGAAATAATATAACAGTTTGATTTAGGTTGATAATGAAGGTGATTAGCTCTACAAAGAGCTTTCGTGCTTTCCAACTTACTTAAGAACTAAGGTAAACTACACCAAAAATTTCCAATGCAACATTGCAAAATATATTTCTAAAAAAGAAAACTGTCGTAATTTGACATATTTGATACATGAAACTAAATAAAAATAAACAGAAAACAAACAAACCAAATAAATAAATATTATACACTAAATTTTTTGTATTTGCGCTAATAATACAACCCTAAAAATTATCTACTTACCATATAATTGAAATACAAACAAACAAAACTTCTGCTAGAACTTTCACAGAGCTTTGTGACACATAAGAGCTCTTTCACGTGCATAAATCAAATATGCCAATGGAAACGACAATATCTTAATTTGATTATATGAATAATATATAATTTAGCTACAGTAGAAACGTGGTATAAGAAAATTATTGTTTGTTATGAATTTTACTAGTGCAAAGAGTGTATTTCTTCCTTTTCTTCTGTAATGCAATATTACAGAAGAAAATAATAATATTATTATTATTTGGCTTCCGAAGTATAGTAGTGAACTACTAAATTTACAATGGCACATTGTTTTCGAAAAATAAAAACTCAATCACAACGAGATACCTGTATCTCTCCATTTTCGTAAACTCTTGATGTGGATCAATAAAAAATTATTTAAAACAATTTTACTTCTAAAAACAATTGATATTTTACGAATTGTAACCTTAAGCATTGTTTATAAAACCAAAAATCATTTTTTTTTATAATGCATCTACTTCACGCTTACACTGTTGACAGGTTTCAAAGCTATTGCCACATCGTTTATCATTTAATAATATTATAGAAATACAACTAATAAAAACTCCCAAAAATAGTATTTAAAAATACTAATTTAATATTCACTAAATAAAATATTTAATATTAGCTTTCAACATTCTAATTAATATTTTTAATTAGCAATACACAACTTAGAGATAAATGCCGTCATATCTATATTCACATTATTATTATCTGTTAATTAAATTAATTGATTGAATTAATAAAATTAAAATTTCTCACGGCACATGCCCCTTTTTATGTGCGAATTAGTTTAATAATAACTGTCTGCTTGCGAAGTCATTTCTAATTTTTTGCTAACTGTGATAGCTGTTTCTGGAATTATCGACATCGATCAATACAACTTTAAATTGGAAATTAACAGTAAGATTCCAATAACGGCTTCAGCTCAATAAGAAACGAAGAGAAAAATATTCTTATTTCGCAATGGGTTGAAATAAATTACAAATCTGTTTACTCTATGAAAAATGAATCCATAAACCGTGCTAAACACCGCTAAGTTTTTGGTCACAATTTTTCACAGTCATTACTTTTATCTATGAGATATTAAATTTTATTTTTATTCGCTGATTTATGTTTTTAAGACTCATATTTTTTTTATCAGTATTAACACCAAACATGTCAAAACTCGTTCCACGAAATCTAAAGCAAAACTTTTAATTACGTCGTTTACACTGCAGACCACACAAAATTAGTAATCAGCGAAGCACGAGCTCGAGCTTAGTAATTCGTGTTCCTAGAAACTCATTTAACCATTACGGACTGCCATACATACAATGCCGGCACATGAAATCTTTGTAGACGCAGCTACAACCTATCGTCCGCTGTCGTTTATTCAGAAGTGTGGGAAAATATTTAGATGAATGTTTCAGCTTCCGCTTTAGTTTTTCTGACAAATAAACAATTTTTTTTCCTTCGAAAATATTTAGTTTTTGTTTGTTCTCTTTTTATGCCCTTGCGGCTTATTGGCATTTTTATGAGCTCTAAACCGAGCTTGTGAACTTTTGAAATTAACCGAAATGTAAAATTAAGACTTTGTGGTTTTAATGACTCAAATAGTGTAGTGCCTTTTTGTGCCATTCTTTAAAGTAAATTTTTACTCAATAAAAAAATTATTTAAAAACAAAACTATTTATTTATGCTTATATAAAAATATAAAATATGACTTTTGCAAAATTGCTGAAAACAATATTAAAGATAATGTGCAAAACTTGAATATATATTTTAGTTAAAGAGATACTCATACGCCATGTAACTTATACTTATATTTGGTATCTACTATAACCAATAATAAAAAATAATTTAATTTTTGTTAAAAAGGTATCAAATCTATTTTATTATACTTCTTGCAATATAATGAATTTAAAGTCGACACTACATGTATTTTCGAACTATAATATTATGCTACACGTATTACCAAAAGTCTCTACCATAGATATGCCCAATAATAAGTTATCAAAAGTTATGGATGCATTCAATTACTACATATTTTCAATAATATTAACAATATAATCTATCACTGGCAAGCCGAATAAATACTTTTTTAAAATTCAGTTTGATTTTTTTCCATTTCAAATGAAAGAGCAGTATTAATCTTCCACTTTCTTTAAATAAACAAACATTTTTGACGGAATGCTCAAATTTAAGGGAATATTTGAATGTTAACGAATTTCTTAGAATGTTAAAGCATATTGCAATTATTTATAAATAAAACATAATATATTTTAAATAAATAAGCACAATTTAATTATTGTTCTTAATACTTTTTCTTTATTTTCTATATTATAATAAAGCTTTTCTTATCACAATACAACAATACAAATAAAAGATTTAGTCCGAGAAAAACTTTTTTCCTCACTGCAACCAACAACCTCTTCAGGCATGCGTATTTTCATTGTTATTTCAATTACTGAGTTTCAATCTACTAAACGCCTTGATTAAACACAGTATTCTGCTTTCCTTAGTGCCCTTTCTGTATGCACATATTTCTATGCATTTTGGAATCTATTCCATGCAGGACACCATTTAAGGGAGATTTATTTACCAAAAAAAATTTCCATCGTTTTGGAAAAATCAAAGTCAACCATAATACTTCACCATGGGCGCCACATATTTCCCGTTTCGCTTGGAGCTGGACTGCAACTGCCACTTTCACTACTACCACATTCAGAAGGTGGTGGTGTAATAATCACAGGACTGCGTTGTTCTGGTGTTATACAAAAATATTGTCCTTGTAATAACTGGGTTTGCTGTTGTTGTTGTTGTTGATGTGCGGTTGTCACATTAGCTGTTGGTACTCCAATAGGTATAGTAGGTACCACAACTTGCAGATAATTTAAACGATGACCCAAATGGCTCATCAGTTGTGTACCTAAATCAACACTTACGCCAGGTACAGCCGCCAAAGTTTTTGATACTTCATTAGCTGCATGTATATACCCAGCACGAAAACTTTCTGCAATAGTTGCTTTTGTATCTTGACCATTAGGCACACCGCCCAAACGCAACTGCTTTTGTGCACGTAGCTTTTTCATGTGCTCCACTGTCAGTTCCAAGATATCAGCTTTCTCAAGACGTGTTATGTGTTCACCTTCCTGTGTCAAACACTCAACCATTATATCCTTGAGTTCATCGAGACACTTGTTAATACGCGCACGACGTTTGCGTTCCAACATGGGTTTCATTACTTTACGATATTGATAAGTTTTTGACATTTCCATTTCAAGCACCATTTCCGATTTTTCCGTTATAGTTAAATTTTTTATATATAATCACTTATGTGGTTTTTGTGTTTACTTTTCTATAATTGTATATGTGTTTGAGTAATCCACAAAGTTACAAATTTACATAAAGTTTCCAAATATAAATAGTCAGTTGTGAACGTTACGACGGTTGCACAATGAATGTTTCCACAAGCAGTTTGCGCACAGGCTTTATAAATGTTCAAGCTCCACTTCAAAAGTCGGCTATACTTTTTGTTATGTGCCAGAGCGAGAAGCATGAAAGTGTAATAAAATCATACACGCAAGCGAACTCATTCTCATACAACACACATATTGTTGGTATTTGTGCGATGGCATGAATATTGTGTACACAGTTAATTCCTCCACACAATCTTCGGTCGTTGCTTCTACTTAAAGATTTGCTTTTTATCGGCACATAACCCTCCTTTTGCCCGCACACAAGACACATTTAACCGCACCATTATACGGGTTAGCTAGGCAGCCTGCGATAAAACAAGCAAAGAAACAAGTCGAGTCAACTTGAGTTAAGTTGTGATTGTTATACCGTGGGAAACTATTCTGTAGTCAATTTCTCACGACGACCAAGTCTGCTGCCTGCCTGCCTGCCTGCCTGCCTGCCTGCCTGCCTGCCTACTTCTTTGCTTGCTTACTTGGCAGCTTGCTTCAATGACTGACTGCCTTAATATTGCCAGCATGAGTATATGTTGATTGGGGTCTTTTAAGTGCTCAGCAGTGGCAGCGGCAACGGCAGCGCACATGCCTTTAATGCATAACAAGATGTTTGCGTTTCTTTTCATTTGGGCTGTGGTATAAGTCATCGTTTGGCATGGCTTGACCTCTATAGTTTAAAGATTGTCTTCTTTTTTATGCGCTTTTTGATTTGATTTTATGTGTTTTGTTTTTCTTATTTGATTTTTTTTTGTTTTCATATCTTGCTTTTGATACTGCCATTCTTTACTTTTGTTTTCTTTTCCGCTCTTTTACTTTTTTCCCCGCAAACCTTTTCATTATTAAACGTAAATAACAGACAGCAGCAGTAGCTTATGGCGTTGTGGCACGATGTTAATTATACTGAATCGTCGTCATCGCATTTTTAACGCTTTATGGATCATTGGATCGTGTCGTGTTAGCTTGATCAGCGTCATAGCGCACATTTTCAACGCTGCCTCGCATTCATTTAAATTTTTTTTATTTATTAGTGTAGCACTACATTAAAATCGATATTAGTTAATTCACGTAGTGACAAAGTAAGTGTCATTACTTTTAACTTTTTTTAATAAAGAAAAAGATTACTCATAACTAAAATATTATTGACTTAGTTGTTTACATAGAACATACCCTTACACATAAAGTTCAAATAACACCATCTTCAGCACTAGTTTACTAATGCAATCGAATATAAGTTTTCATTCCAAAATAAAATCACAACAATTTTGAAGAAAACCCTTCACTTCATTTATGCATGCATTTATGCAAATACAAAAAGTAAATGTAAACCAAACTGAACATTTTATTATCAGCAAGAAAGATTAAATACTTTAACGACATCCAAAAAAACATACTGCACTTTCTTAGTAAACTAATTATAATAAATTTTTGATAACTTGCTAGATATAGTAAATCTTTTTGTTAGTCGTAATTTTTTCTTTCAGAGTTATAAAAAAAACAATATTAAGTGTGGTTGAAACAAATTGAAATTACTTTTAAAATATGTTAAATGCTTATTTTGACATTGTGTATTTTTTGTTGAGTTATGTACAATATAAAATATAGAATATAAATATATATACAATATATATATATAATATACAATATAATATACAATATAAATATATAAAATATATACATTGTAGACACTAAAAATTAATTTATTTAAATAAAAGAAAAAAAAATAAATATAAAAAGGGCAATGATTAGCATTTTTATCTCATATATTTAAAGTAATTTATTTATTTAAGTATTTGCATTTATTGGTAAATGAAATTTTAACGGATAACTAGAATTTTGCAGCATATTTCCAGTGAACATTCACAATAGACTGATTTTTGAATTTGGCTGCACTAAAACTTAAGGCGTAAAAATTTTTGTAAAGATTTTAGGATTTAACTGAAAATTTATGTTTTGATTTTTTTGTTTGCTTTAAAAAAACTAAACTTAATATAAGAAAATTGTATGAACTTCTCGATTACTTTACTTTATATGTTTCACACAAAACTTGTAAAAAGAGCTGAAGTTGTTTGTTTGGGAGAAACAACTAACTGAAAAATAAACTTCTTTGCGCACTGTTCCCTGATCAAAAAGGCAATATCTTCATACTGAATATCTCAAACATATTTAGCAGTGTAAGAACACAAGAAACAGATTGACTCCTAGACGTGGACAGAGTGCATATGAGGACCTGTGTGACAAAATTGGCGATATCCTTACGGAAAACTAAATTAGCGGCGAATTTACGTGTCTGTGCAATATATACAGCTAACTAAATTAACACATGCTAAAAAAGACAAAACACAGGTAGCACAATTTAAGCACATAGAAAACCGTCAGAATCATATACAAACACATATTCGATGAAAAATATACCAAATATGTCGTCATTCGATTGAAAGAAAATCAAAATGCTGGTTGGTATATACATTGTGACCGAAAAGTTTTCGGGAAATTTTAAATAAAACGCAAAATTCTTAATCTTCATCAATATTTATTTTATCTCCTTCAAAATATGCTCCATTAGAAGCGATACACAAATGCCAACGTTTCTTCCAATCATCAAAACATTTTTTATAGGCGCTTTCCGGTATGGCTTTGAGTTCCCTCTGCGAATTCTGTTTTACGTCTTCTATGGATTCAAAACGCGTTCCTCTGAGTGGTAATTTGAGGTTGGGAAACAGGAAAAAGTCACACGGTGCAAGATCAGGTGAATACGGTGGCTGTTCGATGGTATTTATTGAATGTTTGGCCTTAAAATCGTTGATAATGTTGAACAAATTGAGGTGAATCGGAACAAGCCGGGCGTTGACACGTCGCATACACAAATTGTCCACCAAAATCAAACGAGCCATCTCACGACCGATGCCTAGCTCTCGTGCTATCTCTCTAACACTCACATGAGGATTTTTGAACACGATTTCCTTTGCCTTTTCAATGTTTTCGTCGGTGGTAGAGGTCGAAGGTCGTCCAGAACGCGGCATGTCTTCGACGGTCGTACGACAGTCCTGAAAGGCTTTGTACCACTCATAAACTTGAGTTTTCGATAAAACTGATTCCCCATAAGCCTTTTGTAGCATTCGCAACGATTCTGCACACGAAATTTCGTTCGAAAAACAAAATTTGATGCAAACTCTTTGTTCAATATTTTTTTCCATTGTTTTTTTCGCAACGCACTACTGAGGTGAACTGGTTTCAACAGCTGCCGTAAACGAACTGTCTGACAGATCGCGCTCATTTTTGGCATAGTAATTAAGGACAGTGCTGCTAAACTACATAAACTTAAAATATCGAAAAATATACAGCGCGCGAATTTTAAATGAGAATTTCCGAAAACTTTTCGGTCACAATGTAAATAAAGCACTACATAGTTGCCAATCATGCACAAAAGCTTAATATTATCAGCAATGACTAGTGCGGAAAATGCCAAAAACAGCTTAGCGAGAAAACCCTGAAATATCTTTCCTGTTCTGCTCTCTCAAAGACTTGAATGAAATTCTTGAAAACTAAGGCTATTGCGCATGTTGGAGTCAACTATCTCCTAAAATTTGCCAGTGGCACTCATATATTAAGTAGTAGGTACCGTCAATAACTGTTTTTTTTTTGCCCTCTCTATGTAATCTTGAGCAACCACCTTTTTCTATCTATAGACTTATTTTAAAAAAGAAAAAACAGAGGATTTGAAATTATAATAATTTAGGGTGTTTAGCATATTTATTAGACCAACTGAAAACATCACTGTTCACTTTTATGTTTAATATATGTGTGATTGCCGGCGGTTACTGGTCGTTGACGTTTATTCTACCGATTGAAAATTCAAAGTCTATCCTAAAACTCTAGTGTAAGATGTTGTGAGTAGCGAACGGATTAGAGCTACACAAAATAAATTGCTTTAGTGCTGAGTTTGGCACACGCTAAAACTTACAAAAATGGAAAAAAGAATTCGAAACAATAATACATGAAAACAGAAATATCTAAAGGCAAAGAGATTATCTGTACAAAAAATATGTAAAGATATCACAGTAACTGGCAGTTTAGTTGGCAGCACATTTTCTGCATTTTTGCAAAAGACTTGGTAACGAAGTTTATTTCAATTATGAGCGGAAACACACTTGCATACGAAAATACATGGTCTGTGCCATACTGGCTACTTAACATCCCAAAATTGCTTATAAGCTGCTAGATTCAAAGTTTTAAATGTGTATACAAATGTTTAAAATTCTAGTATACATACAAGTGCATATGTGTAAGATAAAGCAACTTTATCTATAATCCGACTATGTCAAAGAGTTGCTGTGATAAAAGAATGATGACTGAATTCGAAAAATAATGACTACTTAGAAATAAATATTTATTTTTTGTGTGTAAGGAGATAGAATGCTTTATTCTCCTTCAAACTCACTAAAACATTCTCCCTTCTTCTTCAGGATTAGTCTCCATCATCGGAAAAGCTTTCACATTACTTGGGGAAGATCCCTTATTAGTTGGATGTACCTGTGTGGTATGTTTTGATTGAAGCATTGTTTTTCGCTTAATTTTAGTTTGTGTCCAGGTTTCTTCTTCTTGAAAACGTTTTCGATGAGTTGTGCGATTTTGTTTCAATTATCCGCTCGTACCTTTATTTTTCTAATGATTTGCTCGACGTTGAGGTGACCTATATTCTCTTCTAATGAAGTTCTTACTGCATGCCATCTTTTGTAATTAAGGAAGTGTGCTTAGAATCGACTTCGTCGGTTCCGTTATTAATATTGTTTAGTTGCTCTGCTTATTTTATCCTATATAGATATTTTCGAAAATATCCAAGTCCAGTTAGGAACTTTGTGATGTAGTAGTCAATATGGCTGTAATTTCTTTCTGTCGGGTTTTACATTTAGAATGAGTTTTGCTGTCCATATTTCTCTTCAATATGTTGAATATTAAGAAAATTCATTGCTAGAAATCTGATGACATTAAGCTCAAAACTGGACCTATTCGATTAGTTGTCAGGTCAATAGCAATCCTATTCTAATGAGTTCATTTTATATAGTTAGCTGCATCCATACTAATTAATAATCACATTTTCTTTAGTTAGTAACAATAAAATTTTTTATATTTGCAAAAACC